GTTGAAATCTGCTCATTTTAAAGTTGCCAAAGTTGAGAAACAGTGCTTTAAATCCTCTAAAGTTGCACACAAGTGACTGAATTTCAGATGGTTGTTTTGAATGTCCCAAGCTCAGAACAATAGTCCACAAGTTTGAAATTGTTTTGAATATTCCAGTGTAGCCTGTGTGGCTTGTTATTGTTTTAATTCTCCAAACTAGAAAGACTTAGATAGTACATTGTCTAATAAAACAGGAGGCAGAGATCCATCTTTGCTGTCATTTGCTGCAATAAGGTGAGGTGAGGGAAAGGGTGGTGGTGAGGATGAGCAAATAAGCATACAGTGGTGCTTAAAAGTTTGTGACTCATTTGTTTAATTGCGTTCTCTTTATCTAGTTTTAAGAATTGTGTGGAGAATAGATTGCATTTTAGGTTGTATTTATGCAGAAATATAGAAAATTCAGAAGGGTTCACAAGCTTAAGCACCACTGTTTACTGCTATCTGCCTAGTAGGTAGGTTTACTTTTGTTTTTTCCTAATTGAAAATTAGAGTTCATGGGTTCTAATAAAATGGCTGTGATTTTTGCATGTGTTTTGCTTTCTTTTTCAGGCTGGTTATCAAATGCAAGGCTGCATCACTCAATGTATGTGCATTGTGTTGTGATTTTTTTTTTCCCCAGACAAATTTCCAAATAGAAAAGGGTCCGTAGTGTAGCACGGTACCTAACAGATAGCATAACTAAACTGATAACCTTCTGGGTTGCAAGTCCAAAAGCTATGTTGTTTTGTTTCTCCGTTCAGCTTTGCAAGCAGGTTGCAAAAAGTGTGCAAAAATATGTGCATTAGGAAAAAGGCCTCAACTTAATAGCCAGAGAAGTGTTTTTGCTGCTGTTATATTTATGGACTATGTTAAAGGGAATGCCTTGCTGTTGGTTTTTTGCTGGCCTTGGTTCCATGGTGGTTGGTAGGGGCAGATTTCATAAAGCATGCTTAACTAATTTGTGGTGGGAATTTTAAAATTCGTTTTCTGCCCAATCTTTTTGTACACCATACTGTATGCCTTACCTGTGGAGCCGTAGGATGAAAAACAAGGGAGCAAGGAACTTGTTTTGAATGTCCATTCTTTCCTGTGGCAGAACACTCAAAATGTTTTGCATTTTGTTCCGTTGGCACACTAGTCATACAAAGTTCTGTTGAAATATGGTGAGAGCAGTTGATTGAAACCTCAGAACCAAACTTTTTGTTCTTGTTTTACACATACTCCAGTTGTGTACCTTAGAGCAGTGTTTCTCATCCTCAGTGACCTTCAGATGTGTGGAAGACTTTAAGATGGCTGGCTGGGAATTCTGGGAGCTGAAGTCCACACATCTTAAAGTTGCTGAAGTAGAGAAACAGTGCCCTACAGCTACATATGCAGGGTTCTCTTTTCTTTGCTACAAGGAGGGAAAGCTGTGGTGTGACGTTTATAATAGTGAGTGAAATATCCCTTGGTTCCAACTTTAAACTCATATGTGGACAAATACAAACAGCAAGCTTACATATGTGTTATACCTAGAGCTGACTTAATCTTAAAATGTCTCATCTTTGGTAAAACCACTTTTTCCTACCACCTCTCTGCCCCCCCCCCCA